AAAAAAAAAATGTGCAGATGCCGCACTTTGCTAACGTTAAGCCCAGGATCTTTCGGGATTAAGGACTCTAAAAAATCATTACATAAAACATTCAAAGTTGCAGTTCCACGTGAAAGACACGGGGTTCTTTGATGTCATACTGACTTTTCATGAACAATTGAACAACGTATCAACGTGAAATGAAGAAATAGCTCGATGAGATGGAAAGATTTGAGGGACAGCACTCATCGCTTCAAAATATCGATCACGTTTTTCGTAGACATTGGGAAAACAAAAGACATATGTCAATGGCGAAGACATAAAGACATAAAGTATGGGAAAACGATCATCGTTGGCGTCGTCAATTTCTGGTATACTGGTATATGAATTAATATATTGAAGTTGCACAAGTGGGAATAAAAGGAAATTGATTTCCAGGTCTAACTGTAACTGAGAAGTTCCTGAGCGCGCTAGAAACTATAATTCATAAAAAAAGCATTGTGAAGTTCTTATTGGATTTGCAGAAGGGAGTCCTTGTGTATGCCGAGCTATTCTTGGAGTTTTGCGCTGCGAAGATAATGGTTGATTTTGTAGAAGACGTTATGAAAGTTCTAGAGAACTTTTGACAATGAAATTTGAGAAATAGGGTTGAGAAAAGCTGGTTATTGAAAGAGTGGTGTAGAAGATGTCGTCTCGCATGTTGTAGAAGCTGCAAGGCTTGGAGAAAGTCAATGACTCAGAGCCCCGAGCAGTTCTCTGCGGATTTCTCAGTGAGTGCTGCAATAACTTTGCGAGGTATGGGAAAGTTAAGAAAACGTTGCAATCAAGCAATTGAATAGTCAACAAGTGAATTATAGAGCAGGTAATATTAGGCTGGTCAGATTCTGGCAGGACGCTCCAGCTGCAAAGGATTTTTCCCTAGACAGAAAAACACTCACTGTCTCCTAGACTGACGCTGGAAATGTTCCTGTTGCCTTCGCCTAGACCACCATTCGCTCTAAATCGCTCACTTGATGATAGGAGTAAAAAGAAAAAATGAGGTAAGATGAGATAATTATTGTGCAAACGTACCCTGCTGCATTTTCACCGCCGCCAGCGGCAACATTATCTGGTGGAGGAGCTGTTGCTTTTGGTTTCTTGGTCTTATCATCATCCATTACCAGACTTTTCCACCACGATGCAGGTTTCCTGGAGAACTTATTTTAAAAGGGAGAGATTTTTGGCATTTGCTTTATATTGTTTTCCAGTAATTTTTAGCAGCTTTCCTTCAAACAAAACAGGTTCTATTCTTTTTAATGACTGTACGATTTTCCCGATGCCATTCTTTTCGCATTAAAAAAAGTCTTCTTATTGTGCTTACAGTACAATAAGGCCCACACGTACGCCACCTCGAGTGGAGGTTTGAGCCGACATTTGTTTCACCAGTTTTTTTTTCGAAGATTCTAACCTACACAG